ACTTTTTGGCACATTCTTTCTTTATCCGGTGAAATGTGGATAAATTGAAATATGTGTACTTCACAATTTTCCAGGTCAACGTAGGAGGCTCGCCATCAATACAAGGAATCCAGTGAAACTGGGAAAATGTCCTCAGAAAAAAACTTGGCCTTATCACAGACCAGAATTTATAAATAAGTTTAATATGTTCAAAATCATTTCAAAAACATACAAAATATACAACACGTAGAACAAATAAAACACATACACACACATGTTTACCATAAAATGAGCTAATATAATGGGATACCTGTCAAATTCACGATGTCTATATCACTCTATGGTCTTCTCACACACACGCGATTGCAAAATGGCGTCAGCGCACTGTAAACGCAATGCAACATGCAGTCTGACTTCAACACACTCTTAAACACATTAACACACTAAATAACAACTATTTTGCAGGTACAACTTGATTTAGTACAACTACAATCACTTTTAAACTGTTTAGGAATCATAACATACTGTATTTTAATCTGTTTGTTCAAGTTTGCTCCTTTCTATTGTTCTGCCAACCGGTCTCGTCTCTGCTCTGTCTCTCTCTGCCGGCAAGCTGGAAGGGGCAGAGCTAACAACCCGCTCTTACAATTGGTTGTTACTTTACCTCAAACTACATTTGTATACATGAATTTTTTTTCGTTTATTATATTTATAAAGACTTGTAGATATAATAATAATATGATTATACTTTAACGATTTCACTAGGGTTACATATGTTTCTTCCACTATTGTCGGTAAGATGACTTTCAGTTTTGCCATATGAACGACAGAGCATGACAACGACAAGAATGGGATTCGATGGCCAAATGTATTTGCAACAACATTCTTCAAAACGCTAAAAGAGTGAGAGTAAAAGTAGTTCTACAGAAACACCATGATCTCTCGAAAGCCAGAACATATGAGCGACGAGGATGGGATTCGAACCCACGCGTGCAGAGCACAATGGATTAGCAGTCCATCACCTTAACCACTTGGTCACCTCGTCACATATTTTCCTTCTTCTTTGGTGGAGGCCGGACTGTGGCACATAATTGTATATGTATGTTTCTGCAACTATTTTCGGTAAGATGACTTTCATTTTTGCCGTATGAACGACAGATCAAATGAACGACAAAAATGGGATTCGATGGACTCGGCCACCCGTCATGTATGTACTCACTTTCATGTTGGGGGCTGTACTATGGCATTTCTGTATGTATTTGCTGCTATTTTCGGTAAAGATGATGTTAAATTTTGCACCAACATCCTTCAAAACGATAAGAGTGTAGTGATAATTGGATTTATCAATTATTAAAATCAATACCGTAAAAAAGCCTGGTAAGGTCTAACAGTGTGTGTATCACTGTTTTAAAGTGAATGGGCAGACAATGCTGGTGCTGGAACTAGATAATAACAAACTCAAACTCTCTATAGGCCTACAGGCCTTATGATGATATGTACAAGTCATCAGAGCTACTTTCGTGACTGTTTGTCAACAAACAAGAGATCCATTTATTGTGCTTACAAGAAATACCTGACAAAAGGTTGTTTATACAAGAAAATACTCCTGCAATAAATTCTGCACATAATGTAAACTAAAACAATGAGTTATCTTTTATATATATATATATTTCTTGCATTTAAAAATTTACAGTACACATTGCTCACAGGAATAAAATACAAAAAAGGGTAGACATAATTTCAAATCATCCATGTGGAAAAAAGACTTACCGCTTCATTTGAATAAAAGCATGTCCAAAATAAAAATTTTTACAAAACGAATTTAAAGGCACACAAGGATTCAAAGACAAAAACAATATTTTCATATTAAAATGCCCAGACGTAGCATTTTTCCCCATGTTACCTAACAAATGAAGGACAATTTGCAGCTCATGTAATCAAACAAATAAATTATTGTAGCTTGGAAATGTGACTCATGTGGATTCCTCTCTAGATTACTCCTTATACTGTTGTTTGCTCCTGATTTTCACCCTAGACTGTTTGACTATTTTTATAAATAAAGTTACATCATATCCAATCATCCAACTATTACAGTTGGAGCAAAACTCTAGAGAAAAGCGCGGGTGTGTCCTTTTTTTCTCTCCTCTAAGCTTAGCTTAGCTTAGATTTCAAATGACAGTTCAGCGTTATCCACCTCCTCATCATCATAGTCTGAACTAAACTGGATATCCACCTCATCCATTTCGAGAAAATCATCATCAATAATGTTCGCAGACTCAACACAATTGTTAAGAACACTAGTGTACAGTTGTTGAAGCGAGGACATGTGGGTTCTGAGGTAGCACATTCTTTTCTGAAGTACAGAGCGAAGTCCTAAAACTCCTTTTTCAGAAAGTCCACAGTCCAGTTCTGTAACATAAAAAAGCACAATAATTACTCACTTCTTAAAAGTGTTCTACTGTAATTGTTTGCAGAAATTAAAGCATATGTGAACGTATTTAGAAGATGAAAGCAGTAGCTATTTATATATATAACCAGTTAGTAGAGCTTCAGTTAAAAACATGATTTTATGGTCATATTTTTGAAATATTAACAGAAAGGTATGAAACACTTCCTATTCCGTTCTTTATCATTATCGATGTTACTTGAAAGATCATTTAGAAGAGAATGGTCTCTTTTGAGGCATTTCCAGTGATTTCTGATTTCTTTCAGGACAACACACTCCTATTCAGTAAGCCGGTTCAGCAGCATCAGTTGGTCAAATGCCTTTTTTTTTGATGACAAGATTATCTGTGAACATGTTTCCAAAAGCATCAATGGTGATTCCAACTTTTAAAATGTTAGTTATCTATATAAGTACACTTAGCAAGTTTTTACAAATCAGAGTTATGATGAATGTACTACACATTTCATTAATGACAACTCTCAAAAAGGGATTTTAGTATATTGATGGATGCTCAATTTTAGGGCATCACATTATTTGTTATGATATACAAGTTGCTAGCTGCAATAACTGATAAACAAAACGTATATATACACTGCGGAAAGCATATAAAACAACTTGAAACAGACAGATAGTGATTCTGACTAACCACTACATAAATTAGAGAAAAATTACAACAGACAATAAGAATCAGAATATGTTTCAAGTTTTCAAGTCATTCATTCTGTTGTCTTTTTCCTCTTGTCTCTGTTCTTGTCATTAGTATTTATATTTAGCTCCGAGGCTCATGATTCACCTTTGGGCCAGTCTAGTCAAAAAAAATAATAGTCCCCACTGAAAAGGTACAAATAAATTAAGGCCCCATCTTACTGTCCCCATGGACAGATCAACAACTTACTATATGTATGCAATAAATGGTATATTACATTTTTGAGCAGCCCTAATACCCACTGTTAACAGATAAGTGACACATAACCACAGGCCATACATCAAAATTTAAACTGATAGCAAGACATACCACGCTCATCCAAGACCCACGGCCATGCATAGCCCTCGGATGCCAGAATTGTGTCAGCTGACTGCAATTTCTGAGGTGCTGCCCTGTTGTATTCATCAATAGCTGCAATGAATTTAGCTTTTTCCTCCCAAATCTTTCTGCGGATTTTGTGTCTTCTCTTGTTTCCATCTTAAAAATATGTAATAAATATGAAAAGACAATTTAAAACCTTTTTCCCATCAAACTTGTGCTTTCCCAATTCTTATAAAACAAATATTATAAAATAATGCAACAATGTTAAAACAAACATGCAGACAAACCTTAAACATCAAAACTTTTGTTGGATTTTTGATGATTTAGAAATATAGGAAGAATAACTGCCATGTTCAGAATTCTCCAACATAGGCTCACTGAACATGTTCAGCCAGGTTATACAACCCTGATTACTGCCAACAGTCACCAACAGGAGTTAATCTTTGTATACTCAGCTATTAATAAAGACTACACCATCTCAGGCCTCAAAGCTGCCCACTTCTTTTTGGCCTGGACCATGGAAATTGACCATGTGTTTTAAGAAGCCGGATTTCAATACTCAGACAATCAGATCAATCAATCAGGTCAGATTAATCAGACAAAACCCAACAAATGTGTTTGAATAATATCTAAAGTTATATAACCTGATTGACGGTAAAGATCTTGCTTCCTCTGCCTGATGCTCTCATAAAGCGACTCAATCGTCTTTTGGAGCCCCTGGTCACTGCCCATGTTCGCCTCACTTGTTGCTAAATTGTTGATAAGACATACATATGCACATCATGATTATATGAAAGGTATGGAATGTAATTTCAATAATAAACAATTTTACACATCATTACTGTCAGCTGTCTAAATTATGTCAATGAAAGGCTTAAAACTACTGCAGGGCAAAAAAATTTACCGTGATTAATTGCATCAAAAATAAGTTATGTATTTATGTATAATAAATGTGTGTGTACTGTTATGTCTTAAAATAAACACTTGTATGATATATATATATATATATATATATATATATATATATATATATATATATATATATATATGAAATACAAAATATATATAGATTTAAATATTTATGTCACCAAGTTTCTATGTATGTGTATCATATATATACCCAAGTATACCACACACACACACACACACACACACACACACACACACACACACACACACACACACACACACACACACACACACCTACCTGTATCAGCCCATTCCTGGATTTCTTTGCTCCAGGCTTTAAGCGTGTCATCTGTCATTGCCAATTCTGTCTTTAATGCAGTAATGTTTCTGGAAGCTTCCTGAATTTTTGCTTGTGTCTAATGAATGACAATACCATAAAGGTGAATGTATTATAACAAAAATATAAGGGATATTTAATGAGCATTTTAAAATAAAAGTAGAGTAGAACATTTTTTATAACAAGTACACTTGAATTGAAATTCACTATGGTTTTCATGTTTTATAATGGATACCAAATTTGTTAGCAAAAAAATTATTACATTTCCACCTAAGTAAGAGAGAAGTAATTTAGAAATATACCTTTTGTAATCTTCGGGACAACAATTTTGCAAGGTTCTCAATTTTGCGTTTATTCCATGCCATGGCCTGAATAGTAATCATGTCTGTTCTAGCTATAAAAAAAAAAAACATAAATCATCAAAAGCTCACATTAATGTTGCATACTAGTTTTGTAGTTGTATCACACCTTTGTGAATGATATAGAATTTGTCAAAATTTGAATAATAAAAAAAAAAAAGAAATTCATTTTGTCAATCACTTTATCCTAAATCTGGCATTTGTGTACTTTGAATATGTTTGCAGTCATACAGTTACCTCCTTTGGTCATGTATTTACTGCATATAGCAGTTCTTGACAAGAAGCTGTTTACTTGTTCGACCTCTTCGCCCAGGGTGGTGCCTGCTCCTTCTTGGTTTCGACCACCCCATTTAATCTTGAGAGTGGAAGTGAAATATTTTACAGAATTAAACCATGTCAGACCATAGAAGCATCCAAGTCACAAACAGATACCTTCATGTTCTGGAAAATAGTTTACCTCACATTTCCAGGAGTGGGCCTTTGCATGCATCACTGACAGGAATGGCTTCATATCCAGGAGAGGAGACAGCTCTGGACAGTCTCTAACTACTCTCTGCAGATATGGCCAGTACTTGCATATTACATCAGTGCACATGAACTGCACATTGCGTGGTGTCAGCTCCTTTTGTAGAAACATGGGATATGCAAATATTTCCCCTCTCATCATGTTCAAACTTCTTAGGAGCACACCATGCCGACAGACAGCTACCTCCATCCCCTGCTCATCCAGCTTGTTGATTTTCATTGGGACAGACTCGTGCTGCAGTCCATTGACTTGATCCACAAACATCTTTGCCAGATGACTTACCAAATGATAACAAAGTAAAAGAAACATGAAGATTCAACAATGTAGTATTAAATTACATATGTGAATCTGTGTCTGTGTACAAAAATATGCTAACAGATAAACACATTTAACAATAAACATTTTTTTTTTAACATTTTTATTTTACTTTATTTGGCGATGAAAAATTACAATTGTTAAAGGAATAATGGAACTTACATGCTTTGTTTTATTATTAATGTAGTCCACGAACTTGGAAACATCTTCATCCTCACAGACAAAGACACCCTTAAACAGGCCATGGTCTTCAGCTCTATAAAATAGATACACAACAATTTAATTAAAAGCTTTGGTATTGAATTCAATTGGTATTGAATATTTTTTAGAAATGGTTTTCACACAGATACAGAAATTCACCTACCCTCTTTTGAAGCGATACATTTTCCTGTTGCCATCTACTGACACAGCTAGCATAAATGGAGAACAGGCTGGACAGTCGAACACTTTTAGCCCACAGAGCTGATCAATTTCAAACTGACAGTATCTCCACTCAAAATAGCTTCTTTGAAATGCAACAGCACAGATCTTTCCACCAAAAAACAACAAAAACCATAAACTCAATAAGAAAATATTGCACTGCCAAAATTGAGAAAGAAATTATTCTGAAAATGTTTTAATTGATACTCGGCCAAAGAACTCTGTCCGCTGTTCCAGTAAACCGGTAAAAGACTGTCTGGACATTCCAGGAGCAGTCAGCTTAATGTGATCATAAGACACAAAGACATCTATTTTGTAAATAGTTTCGCAGCTTGCTTTGGCAGGCCAGTATCCAGAGCGGACCAACAGTGGAATGTTGGTTGTTCTGCTCACGTTACATTTTAAGCATTTGAATTCTGGCAAGCTGACATTGTAACGACCTATTGAAATAAAGTATATATAATACATTTATAATAGAAATATTAAACTTTTTTTTTTAAATCCTCTCAGCTTACCATCAATTCCTATGAGAATTGCCTTTTTACCCTCTGACACCACAATGGAATCAATTGAACAGTTGCAAATTTCTTCAGGTGTCTCAAGGGGCAAAAGGCTATCTGGAAACAAATTTCAAACCTTAATATGATTAGCATTGCTGCATCATTATTGTAACAGAAATCCATACGATAAGTTTCAAGATTATAAACAAAAAGAAAAAAACATATACATGCCTTTTTCTTCAAATAGAAATTGTCCTCTGCTATCCATCTTAATCAAAGTACTTGGGGATATGGGCCTAAAGAATCCTTCCACATCAGTTTCACGGTTGTGAAGTTTTCTTTTGTGGAGCAAAATATCACACTCTGGACATAATAGCTGCTTGGGAATGCAGTCTTTACATCGTATGACAGATCGCTTCAGTAGGCAGTGCTGGCACTGCCTAATCTCGGTATATTCAGCAGATAATAAAGAATCCAGCATCTCAGGCCTTAAAGCTGCCCACTTCTTTTTAGACTGCTCAATGCGACTTGCCCATGTGTTTGAGGAAGTCGGAATTGAACACTTAATGTCATCAGTATCACCTAGCAGGTCCTCAATTTCTTGATGAAGAGTTTCTGTATTAGGAAAAAATAAATGCTATTATAGTGTTTATGGCGGTTGGTTAGACTGACCATTACAGGGAAATACTTACCAATGTTTACCGCTGCTGCCCAAACAGTGTGAGCAGACAGTGATGGACCTTCAAATAAGAACAATGGGGCAAATGACAAAATAGTAATAATAACCATGCATGGCTAGTTACTTTGAAAATTGTTGGTGTCATTACTCACTATGATCAATGTCTCTTTACCCAGATTCCAAAGATGAAGACATACCTGCACTATTGATCACTGTAGCTAAAAAAATTTAGATTTATATAATTATACATTACAGAAAATGTATGATGGTGCTACACATTATAAGAAATATGTGTGTGTCCACTACAATAATACACAATATGCTAAATTTATTATAGCCATACCATCGCAAATGTTTGCCTTAGAAGATTTCTGCCTTCTCCGTTTAGGCACAAGATGACCAAACTGATCCCTCTCCACAAATGAAACTGGTTTGGGAAGGGTGCTGCAGACACGTTTGGTCTTCTGTGTATTTAACTAAAAAGACATATATAGGATGTTAAGCAAAAACTTTGATATCTATTAACAGCTAACAAACTACGATTCAATGAAGCTATTAAAATAATATAAAATAAATTGCTTGAAAAAAAAAACATTACTGGTGGAAGGCTAAACGTTTGTAGATCTTGTTCAGCCTCCCTGGTAGCTGCTTTAAGTGCAGAATTTGCTGCTTTGCATTCAAGTTCCCTTGTAAGAATGGCAGCTTCCTCATATAACTGGTCAAAATCTGACTTTTGACAAGATGCCATATTGAAGAGAAAAAAAGTGAAAATATAAATTGTGTGTGTATGTGTGTGTGTGTGTGAGAGAGAGAGAGAGAGAGAGTGTGAGAAGAAGATGAAGAGTATGAGAGAGGGAGAGAGAGAGAGAGAGAGAAATTGAGTGAGATTTTAGCTAATGATGGCTCTTAAAAGAGCCGTTGTGTTGTATTTAATGGAGTGAAGGATAGATGAATGTGTTGGGAGTGAGAGTATCTGCAAGACAAAGCAAATAACAGTATTGTAAATAACTATACATAAGCATTTCCACATGTACAAAAAACTATAATAATTTGCATTAAATACTGCAACGTTTTGAATCATAAAGCAAAGTGCATTATATTTTAAAACTTGCAATACAAGACTTTGATAATGAATACTACAGCATACTGTAGTATTGACTATTGGGAAAAAAGTACCGTGGTATACAAGCTTTTACCACAGTAACTTTGGTGTATATAATATACCCTAGTTAAAACGTGGTAAAGTATTGAGTAATTTGTTTACATTACTGCAGCTGTTTAGTTACCATAGCAACTCAAGAATCAACAAAACCGTTCGCTAGTATTTACTATAAATTACTATAGTATTTTACGCGGGTATACGTCACAAGGTAGAAACGCACAAAAATACAGACGCACAGATGACTGATGACATCCAGCAAACAATAACATTAATTTCTTATTGATAAATTACTGCTAATGCACTTATATAGAACATTTAGGAGCCGTGTTACAGTGTACTTACCAAGAAGTGGCATATGCAAACTGCAGTAAATATCGCGATGGTTTGCAAACGAGAAGAAAAAAACCCATGAGAAGGCGCTTGATTAAATCGTATGAATTAGTACGAATTTACAGGTGATCTAAAGGCGGTGAATAAATCATACGAATTCGTACGACCCAGCTCGTATGAATTCGTACGATTTAGCCATTTGGTTACTACGTACGAATTCGTACGATTTCGCTGTGAGATAGGGTTGGATGTACACATGCATAGCCAAATTCACGTGCATAAAACCAAATTCACATGCGTAAAAAATTTATTTATATTCACAAAAAAATTTCTTGTGCTCAAAATAAAAATACATTTTCATAAAATACGTTTCACAAGTGCAAAACACCATTTGCAAATGTATAAGAGTGTACAAAAAGTTTTGAATGTTTAAAACTTGCGAGTTCATCCTGAATGAGAATGTGCAAATCCTCTTTCACGTACGACTCCCCCTGGATATGTGTGTGTGTGTATTTTTGAGACTTTCCTGCCAGAGGCAGGGTAACTCGTACCTTTCAGCCAATCAGAGGAGAGCTGTAGTCAAGGACACCCACTCTGCGCTCTATTTGCGCAGACTGTTCCTCTCCAGCATGGCGAACGGAGAAAGCAGCAGTCGCAGTCGCACTTTTTTTCATTTATTTATTTATTTGACCATAGCCTCACTCTTTTTATCCATTATTTTGCCGCAGCTCCGCTCTTCTTATTTATTGTCTCGCAGCCGCATGAGTAAACTTTAGCCTGCAGGGTAATGATGAGGATTAAGTATTATTCCGGCCATACAAACCTTAACATTGCTGTTGTGGTCCAGCGGTCAGCACGTTGCGTTCAAGCTGGGGAACAATCGTCCAAGAAAGAAGGAAAGAAAGGGGGGAAGAAAAAAAGGGAAGAAGAGGGGGAAAAAACGAAGAAAAGAAAGGGTGAATTCTAAGCTTCCCGGACACGCCTTCCCTGCACCTGCTTTATGTCACGCATAGTGATACTGTTCTTTGTTAAAACAACGCAATTTGAGTTACATTGATTTGTATTGCAGGTGCTCACCAAGAACAGGGTTTGAATCCAGCTAAAGACGCTTTATTGTTATTGGTTTATTATTACTCAATAAACTAACTGTTTAAATGTGTAATGCTCCAAGGTAAATAAAATATGCCTAAGCACTTTATTCTTGTGTTTTTTGACTTTCTTTCATGAAAAATAAAGCATACCAACTTGAATGTGTCACTATTTAGTAGTTGTTGTAGCATTGTTATGCTTATGGTTATTATTGTTCTGTATTTTGATGTACAAATGATCTATAAAAATGTCATAGAGTATATAGTGTACACACACACACACATATATACATATGTATGTGTGTGTATAAAGTGTGCATAGTGTATATGGAATTAAAAGTCAAGTAGTCAGTTATTTATATATGCATTATTTATCTAACAATTGTCAACAGAACAGTAATGAATATAGAGTAGAAAATATAAAAATAATAAATTAGTTATTAATAATACAGTATTAACAATATAAATAAACAATGTTAATAAAATGTTAA